GCTGGATGGACAGATGAAGGAGTGAATGGATGGTTGGGTAAACGGATGGATAATAGGTAGATAGGGCTTCGGATGAATGGATGGATGGATGGATGGATGGATAGGTGATTTGATGGGTGGATGGTTAAATAGATGAGTGGATAGGGGAGTAAGTAGACTGATGGTTGGATGGGTAGATAGGTGAATGAGTAAATGAGAGGAAGGATGGGTGGGATGGTGGATGGATAGATGGGTGGATGGATGGATGGATGCATGGATACATAGATAGGTAAGTGAGTTGATGGATGGATGGATATGTGAGTGAGTACATGGGTGGGTGGATGGGTAGATAGATGTGCATGGATAGGTGAATGAGTGGATGGATGGGTGGATAGGAAGTGAGTATATGGATGAATAGATGGGTAGATAGGTGAAAGAGTAGATGGGTGGATGGATGAGTGGATAGGTGAGTGGGTAGATGGGTGTATGGGTAGATAGATGGGTAGATGGATGGATGGATGGATGGATTGATGCATGGACAGGTGATTGAGTAGGTGGTAGGTGGGGGATGGACAGGTAGATGGATGGATGGATGCATGGGCAGATGAGTGAGTAGGTGGGTAGATGGGGGATAGATGGGTGAATAGATCGATGGATGGATGCATGGGCAGATGAGTGAGTAGGTGGTAGGTGGGGGATAGACAGGTAGATGGATGGATGGATGGATGGATGGATGGATGGATGGATGCATGGACAGATGAGTGAGTAGGTGGGTAGATGGGGGATAGATGGTAGATGGATGGATGGATACATGCATGGATAGATGAGTGAGTAGGTGGGTAGATGAGGGGATAGATGGTAGATGGATGGATGGATAGATGCATGGACAGGTGAGTGAGTAGGTTGGTAGATGGGGGATGGATGGGTAGATAGATGATGCATGGACAGATGAGTGAGTAGGTGGGTAGATGGGGGACAGATGGTAGATGGATGGATAGATGCATGGATAGATGAGTGAGTAGGTGGGTAGATGGGGGACAGATGGTAGATGGATGGATGGGTAGATAGATGGATGGATAGATGCATGGATAGATGAGTGAGTAGGTGGTAGGTGGGGGATAGACAGGTAGATGGATGGATGGGTAGATAGATGGATGGATAGATGCATGGATAGATGAGTGAGTAGGTGGTAGGTGGGGGATAGACAGGTAGATGGATGGATGGGTAGATAGATGGATGGATAGATGCATGGATAGATGAGTGAGTAGGTGGTAGGTGGGGGATAGACAGGTAGATGGATGGATGGGTAGATAGATGGATGGATAGATGCATGGATAGATGAGTGAGTAGGTGGTAGGTGGGGGATAGACAGGTAGATGGATGGATGCATGGACAAATGAGTGAGTAGGTGGGTAGATGGGGGACAGATGGTAGATAGATGGATGAATGAATGGATTCATGGACAGATGAGTGAGTAGGTGGGTAGATGGGGGACAGATGGTAGATGGATGGATGGATGAGTGGATTCATGGACAGATGAGTGAGTAGGTGGGTAGATGGGGGATAGATGGTAGATGGATGGATGGATAGATGCATGGACATGTGAGTGAGTAGGTTGGTAGATGGGGGATGGATGGGTAGATAGATGGATGCATGGACAGATGAGTGAGTAGGTGGGTAGATGGGGGACAGATGGTAGGTGGATGGATGAATGGATGCATGGACAGGTGAGTGAGCAGATAGGTGGATGATGGGCGGACGGCTGGATGTGGGCAGTGCACACTCACCCAAGAACCTCTGCGTGGCATTCACAGCCTCCACGTCCTCCACCACTTCAGAGAGGACCTTGAACTCCTGTGTGCATTCAAAGGCCCGTGTGGCCACCGTCTTGGCTCCCAGGCACTTGGCCACGCTGCAGGAGGAAGCAGGGACAGCTGGAGATTCAGGCCTCCTCCCCACACAGACCCAGTCCTCCTCAGCCCGGACCATCCTACTCAATCCTGTGATGGCCTAGGGCTCAGCCCTGCAGGCAGAGACATTCCAAGGCAGGTCTGCCAAATGTCGGAGACTCGAGAGACATGTGCCGTCCCTAAGACTCTGCGATCCTGACAGTGCCCTTCCTTGCTCAAACCCCAAAAGCCAAGCACGGAAAGGGACATTCCCGTTTTGTTAATCAGTAACTCCCTCTCGTGTCTATACCAGAGCTAACATGTATTATATGCGCACAGTGTGCTGAGGACAGGGCTCTTCTCACAACCACCCTTTGAGTCAGAAACATCTGAACTCCATTGATCACGGGAGGAGGTTCAAGCTCAGAGTTACTCAGTTACTAGCTCAAGGACACACTGCCGGTCGGTAGCAGAATGTGGATTCCAATCCAGGCAGTCCAGCTCTTGAGTCTACACACTTTTCCTCTCAGTTTGGCACTTACTGTGAGCTGGACAGTGTGTTTCAGGCCCTGGAAGGCCTGTGAGGGGACCTCTGACCCCCTGAGCCCAAAGCACCAACTTTAAACTGCCTGGTTTCAAACCTTGGCTCCACAGAGCTGCATGACCTTGGAAAAGTCATTTCATCTCTCTGAGCCTCAGTTTCCTCATCAGAAAGATGGGGTCAGGAAGATGTCATGGGAAGGAAACGAGGAAAAACCTTGAAGGTGCCAGGGGCCAGCAGACGGCATAGCAGTTACGTTGCTGGACTCCTACATGGCCAACCACGGTTCGAGTCTTGGACCTGGTGACCTGAAACTCACACCAGCCACCTGTGCGTGCATGCTCAAGACCTGGGAAGAGAATGGAGGAGGAGAAGGCATGGCGTGGCCATCCCTCTGGGGAGTGATTTCTCACTGTCCCTATCTCTCTCTCTTCCTGGTAAGTGCACATGCCCTAAGGTAAAACAAACCAAAACAAAACAACCTTGAAAGTACCTAGAACAGAGCTTGATGCTTGGTGAGCTCCAGAGCAGTGCCAGTTTGTCTTATAAAGACATGGACCAAAGCCCATTTCTTTTGTTTTGTTTTGGAGAGATTTTTGCTTTAGGGCACATGTGTTTGCTGGAGAGACAAAGAGAGACAGAGAGATAGAAAGCAAGAAATCACCCCCCACCCCCGGAGAGGGGAGTGGCCATGCGGCAATCCCTTCTCCTCCATTGTCATCTCGGGATTTTGGACACGCATGCACACCCACTGGGTGAGGGACTTGAACCACAGTCAACCACGCAGGAATCCAGCACCTTTAACCACCACGTCACCTGTTGGCCCCAAAGCCTGTTTTATGGCTGAGCAGACGTGCAGCACTTCCTTCCAACTTAGTGCCACGTGGTGGCCTGTGGTTGGAGTGTCAGGGCCAAGGAGACCCTCCAGGTTGTCCCATCCCCACTGGCTGGGACTCCCCCCCGCCCCCGCTCCCGCCCCCAGCCCACACCTACCTGGTGATGCCCGGCAGTGTGACTGGCCTGCCTGCCTTGATGGCCGCATTCAAACAGTGCGCCCCGCGGGTCTCCATGGCGATGATGGGTACGTGCTGCCAGCCCACCTCCACCAGGCCAGCTGCTACCCCCGCGAGGAGCCCCCCGCCCCCCACGGCCAGCACCACGGCACCTGGTGGGGTCCCCAGGGCTGCCTTGAGCTCCTGCACCAAGCTGCCATGGCCTTCCCTGAGGAGGGTGAGAGGGAGGAGCAGACTGAGGGGGGTCCGCTGCAAAGGCTCCCAGGTGGGGGGTAGGGATCCCCAGGAGTGGGCTCCCCCTCCCCACCCACAGCAAGGGGAGGGGAGACTGAGAGATTTCACTCATTCACTTCATTCACTTACGGATTCTCTTCATCTCCCACCCATCACCTGCCCAGGCACTTTCTTGGACATGATCCCTTAGGATTCCCTTATGCTGTTAGAAGGAGATGTCGTGTGTGTGTGTGTGTGTGTGTGTGTGTGTGTGTGTGGTTAAGAGGGGACCAGCCTGTCACTTGCAACCAGCCTGACTTAAGTTCTGGGACTGGGACACATTATCTCTGCCACTTACTAGCTGGGCGATCTTGGGCTGGTTGCTTGACCCCTCTGTGCCTCACTTATAAAGCAGGTATAATAACACCCACCTCTACAGCTTTGGGGAGGAGACACATATGCCAGGGAAGCCTCTGGGCTTGTATCTGGCCCCAAAGGACCTACTCAGGAAAGGGGACCTCGTGTTGTCATTTCCTTTCTACCCCCGTGGAAACGAGGCCAAGGCAGCAAAGTGCTTTGCAAAAAGTAAGTGATTCCCAAGTGGCAGAAACAGGGCCTGAACCCAGTTTGTCTGCCTTTGAAGTCTCCTCTCTGGGCCTCAGGTTCCTTTCTGTCCAATGGGAGGGCCTTGACTCCTGACTCAGTGAGGGTCTCCCAGCTCTGAGCTCCCTGGGGTGAGGGGCACCAGTCTTACCATAACAGGGGGTGGTCAAACGGGGGGATGTTCACCCAGCCGTCTCTCTTGGCTAACTCTTGCGCTCTCAGATTGGCCTCGTCCCAGACCTAAAGAGAAACCGAGGGCCCTCAGATGCCCCGGATGTCGGACTGGAGCAGAGACCTGGGGTCTCCTTGATGGCCCCAAGGATGAGGTCAGACCTGGTGTGCACCGAGCTGGCCTCCTGGAATGGGGGAGAGGCTCTGGGTAGCAGACGCCAGGCGCTGACACTCCGACAGCCATCTTGCTGCCGTAAGAGTGAAACCAGGCCTGCCCAGGATGCCGGGAGCAGGTAGGGTTCCGAGGCCAGCCTTGAGGCTGCCGGTGCTTCCCTGCTTCCCCCGTCAGAATCACACGCCCAGGCCTCTGCTGTGTGGTTTTGCTGTTCTTCCCACAGGGACGGAAGGAGTTTGTTTCCTAACCCTCTCAGCCATGTGACTTGCACTGGCCAGTGGCACAAGGCAAGTGTGACAGTGCAACACTTGAGAGTCAGAGGTTTCTCTTCTTTTCTTTTCTTTTTGAGAGAGGGATTTTTTGCTATAGGAAACATGCACTCTCCAGAGAGACAGAGACAGAAAGACAAGAAGTGAGATATCACCCCCCCCCCCGGGAAAATGGCCACTCCACAATCCCTTCTCCATTCTCCTCTTGGGATTTTGAGTACGCATGCACATGTACCCGATGTGAGTTTCAAGCCACCAGGTCTGGGATTCGAACTGCAGTCAACCATGGGGGAGTGCATACCTTAACTGCTACACTATCTGATGCCCCAAGAGTCAGGCTTAGTGGTGTCTTATATTTCCTTTCAGCCCTCTTGCCATTGACCTTAAGAAGGTAGCCCTAGGGGCCAGAAGATGGCACAGTGGTTAAGCTGCTGGACTCCCACATGGTCGACCACAGTTCAAGTCCTGGACCTGGTGGCTTACTTTCTCACTTTCCCTTTCTCTCTTTCTCTGTCTCTCTCTGATCAAATTTACAAAGAAAATAATAATAACAAATAAAATAAATAATTCTTTAAAAATTTTAAAAAGAAGAAGGTAGCCCTAGGTGGCCACTGGCCAAGGAAGATGAGGAACGTGTCTGAGAACTTCATCCTGCCTACAGGCTGAAGCAGAACCACCCGAGCCCACACACGAATCCATGAGCGGAACAAGTCATGTTTCTCATAAGCCACTGCTATTTGTGGGCTGTTTATTATGCAGCATTAACTAGCAGCAATCGCTGACTAAAACAATACAGCTTCTCTATCCTCCTTAGTGCCCTAGGCTTCCCCATAACCACATCCCTCACAGTTGTTACCAACATCTGCTTTCCTGTGTGTCTCCCCAAGGGCACTTTGAACCTCAGGAGAGTAAAGATGATTTCTTTTTCTTTTTCTTTTCTTTTTTTTTTACTTTTTATTTCATTTCTTTCTTCCGCATGCACTCACTGGAGAGAGAGAGAGAGAGAGAGAAATCACCCCTCCAGGGGGGATGGCCACTCCTGGGATCTTGTGCATGCATGCACATGTGCCCAGTGAGAGTTTCAAGTCACCAGGTCCAGGACTCAGACCCTGGTCAGCCATGTGGGAGTCCAACACCTTAACTGCTATGCCATCTGCTGGCCCCAAGACCATTTCTTATTGTCTCTGTATTCCTAGCACCTTCTAACACCACACAGGCATAGGGTATGGGCTCAGTGAATGTGGATAGATGGACAGACAGACAGAAGATGGGTGGAAGAAAGGACAGAGGGAGTCAGCCGGGTAGGGCAGTGGTGGCCTGATGTGACGCTGCCCAAGCGATGCTGTGTTCATATAAGGAACTGTGGGTTCCACCTGGAGTGATTCTGTCCTGCACGGCTGTCTTCAGGAGCCATAGTCACATACCTCCATCCACCTTCCTGCCCACCTCAGTGCATGCACCACCCATGGAAGATTTGATGGACATGGACAAGAACCCTCCGGGGCCCCAGAGGTTGTGAACTAAAGGCTAATGAGGATGATCATTTTAAGGTGGATAATGATGAAAACAAACACCAGTTATCATTTTTTTTTCTTTTTTTGGAGAGGTTTTTGCTATAGGGTGCATGCGCTCACCAGAGAGAGACAGAGACAGAAAGTGAGAAATCATTCCCTGGGGTTATGCCCACGCCTCAATCCCTTCTCCTCCATTCTCCTCTCGGGATCTTGGGCACGCACACACACACGCCCGACATGACTTTAAGCCACTGGATCTGGGATTCGAACCACGGTCGGCTACATAGGAGTCCAGCGACATAGCCATTACACCATTTACTGGTCCCGTACACCAGTGATCTTTAAGAACGGTCAGTTTGGGGGCGGGTGCAGAGGGGGAGTTGCACGTTATTGAAGCAGAGGTAATGAATTATGACGGTCGTCCAATGAAAGTAACGCTGGCAACATTGAAGATGTCTGTACAGCCAACGGTTTCCCTTGGGGGCTTGCAAATACCACCACCTGTGGTCTTAGGGTGGACGCGTGGTTCAGGGCCTGTGCATATTAGTGGCCAGCACTCAGTAGCTGTGGAGGAAGATGCAGAGTCAGAAGAAAAAGAGGAAGAGGACGTGAAACTCTTAAGTATATCTGGAAAGCGATCCGCCCACCGGAGGTGGTAGCTGGGTTCCGCAGAAAGAAAGGAACACTTGCTGCTGACAAAGATGATGACGATAAGAATGAGGATGATTTGGAAGATGAGGAAACAGAAAAAAAGCTCCCGTGAAGAAATCGATACGAGATACTCCTGGCAAAACTGCTCAAAAATCAAACCGGAATGGAAAAGACTCAAAACCGTCAATACCACAATGGAAAGGTCAAGAACCATTCAAAACACAGGGAAAAATTCCTAAAATGCCAAAAGGAAACTAGTTCTATGGCAAACATTCAAGCAAAAATGCAAGCAACGGTAGAAAAGAGTGGTTCTCTTCCCAAAGTGGAAGGCCACGTTCATCAATTACCGGAAGAGTTGCTTCTGGATGACTGACCAGGAGGCTAGTCAAGGTCTCTGGCAGTGGAAGAAGTCTCTTTAAGAAAAGAGTTTGGGGACCAGCAGTTGGCATAATGGCTATGTCGCTGGACTCCCATGTAGTCGACCGCAGTTCGCATCCCAGACCTGGGCGCATGTGCGTGTGTGCCCAAGATCCAGAGAGGAGAATGGAGGAGAAGGGATTGTGGTGTGGCCATCCCCCCTGGGGGGTGATTTCTCACTTTCTGTCTCTCTGTCTCTCTCTATCTTTCTGGCAAGTGCACACACTTTCTAGTAAAATCCTCTCCAAAAAAAAAAAGAGTTTAAACAGCTCAAATTTTCCGTCTTATTTCATTTCTGTAACGGTTCATACCTGGCTGTCCTTTTCCATGTTTGATAAATGTCGTCCTGGTCCCATGGCCAAGAATGTGTTGTCCAAAATGCCTGTTTAGTTTTTCTAGATGGAGCTCCACTCTGTGCTTGGTTATAAGTACGTATGGAATGTTGTTATAGGACACAGTCGTCTAGGTGGTCAGACATGGAAATGGGAGGGAGACAGAAACATACGTGTGGCATAAACTCAGTATTTTAATAAAGTAAAAAAAGGAAAGAAGAAAGAAAGAAAGAAAGAAAGAAAGAAAGAAAGAAAGAAAGAAAGAAAG